CAGAAATTATTTTTATTTAGTAACAAAAAATATATATACATACATATGTACACAATAATTTTAAGTTCAGTACATTTTCCAAACTATCATCAATCACGTTACTGAAATATATATATATAAACATACTTATTATTTCTATAACCATTATCTTATTTTTAAATGCTGTTTATAACAATCACACAAAATGTTTACTCTTTGTATATGTCGTTAATAAGTAATTGATAACTTATCAAGTTTATTTTTGCTATTTCTTCTCAATTCAAGTTATGCATGTACAGTAAACGTTAACAAGTAAAAACTTGTACTTGACAGATTTGTTTTTAATTATTTAGATTAATTTTTATCACATGACCTTATGCATGGAAGCAGTATTCAAACTTTAAAGTAGGAAATGCAGCAAGGAATTTGATATTGGCAGTCATATTGTGCTTTTTGAATGATGACTTTATGTGATATATACGCTAAAGACACTTTGGGCATGGATTGTGGTATACAAAATATTATATTAAACTTTTCATTACTTTTATAACAATTTCGTTTATCCATGACTATAAATTCTAACTTTTTTCGCAGAAAGCGTCGCTAAAAATAAATTACTATTAACATCGACTGCACATATATCAAGAACAGGGTCAGATACAGGTAGTGTATTTACTTGTTTCCCAGTGGACATGCTCCACAAAGATATACAACTTGTAGATTCTTGGTGTGCAGCAATTAACGTATCATTCTCAGTATTTATGTAACATGGTCGCGAGAGTAGCTGCTGAGAGTTGCCAGCGTGAAATGTGTGTACAACATTACAGATAGTTGATTCGTCATTACCTTTTTCTATGGTACATACTATGTGTCTAGCATGAGATTGCCTTGCATTTGGCCGAGAAGATATTAGAGCATGATTGCTTTTCTCATCGTAACATACAGATACAAATGGCCCCTCAAGAAATATTTGTTTAGGTACATACTTTGACTCTTTCTGTTCATATGCATAGCATGTATTTAAACGACATGCAATGAAACCTCCTCGACTAATGCCACTACCAGGATTAGAAGGTACTGTTGCTAGAGAAACCACTGGTGATCTGTCACCAGGGCTATCCAAAGTTTCTACAGCTCCAGAAGTTTGTCTTATGTCAAATTGCGTTAATGATCCGTTCTGGGCACCAGCAAAAAATATATTTGAATTATCGCCTGACCAACAGCAACTCCACAGTGGAAAATCCGTTTGATAAGTGTGCATAACAATGTGATTTTTAATGTCCATCAGTTTCGCACATTTATCAAAACCAACGCTAAGCAATATCGAGTGTTGGCTCGTGTTAAACGTAACGTCTCTTATGACTTGCGAATGTAGAAAAATGAACTGGCGTGGTTGAAACTTATCCGAATCAATCTTTTTAATACCGTAACCCGAAAATAATGAGTTCGTTGATTTTTGAGAAACAACTAGGACTCCGTGCCAGGGATTATAGTCCAGTACACGACAACCACCGTCCTTACATATCTCTATAGATCGATCTAGGTGGAATTTTTTAATCACATGTTTGGAAATATTTTGACCGGAATGCAAAGTTATTTCTGACTGCTGAGCTTCTAACTCAGATATACGATTTCGCATACTAGTTATTTGTTGCTCGAACAATTTCTGCCTAAGAACATACTTTGACAAATCCATTTCTACACGATTCTTTTCAGTCGTGACATTGATTAATTGTGTTTTCAATGCATCTAATTCAGCAGTGTCTATTGATGTCAGTTTTTTGGCATATAACATTCTAATGTCCTTAACGGAAGCTTTCATATTACATTGGGGACAACGGCGATTTGCACTAGTACAAGAACTTTGTAACCATTTCAAAATACAACTGTGTCCGAATAAATGACCACAACGTAAACAACACAGACGATGCTCTCCTGAGCTGGTCCAAAAATCCATACATATAGGGCAGGACTGATCAGAATCAACTTCAGATTCATCTAAAGATTCTTCTTTTGCTTTCTTTGCCTTTGATTCGTCATTATCGTCTATAGTATCAGATAGACACAAAAATATTAAATGTACACATTATACAATATAAATATTATATGCGTTATATATTAAATTGTTTACTTGTATCTTCCTCATGATCTTCAGTTTGTATATTATTATCAGTATTGTCGTTACTGTCAGATTCTTCAGAGTGATTATCTTCCATATCTTCCATTTGTGAATTCTCTTCACCTTTAGTATTTAATTAACAATATTATTTATTAGTATAACTGCAGATAGTCACAATATTCTGCATACGCTTGCTACAAACACTTGTATAGTACACATATCAAAAGACACATAAAAGAAATTAATACACAGGGAATAACTCACAATTTTCATTACTTTATGACATAAAACTATATGAAAGTGTTCCAATAATTTGTCTACACATTTACAGTATATTGAATATTTAAGAACAATATAATCATGACATTTTGTCGTAAATATTATACAAAATTGACTTATTGTGAACACTTACTGTAGTCCATAACCTCCATTTGGTAAGAATGGAATAGAAAATATGTATTTGTAAGTTTTTAAGGACTAAGAGCAACTTAAATTAGGTAGATCAAATTCCTCCTTCGTAGAAGGTAGAGTAATGTATTTCTTTCTTTACAATCAAAGTGGTATGTCGTTGACAACAAAGATGTTTACATACAATGGAATTTTCACATGACCTTTTCCGAACGAAACTATTGCCACAATTCGTCGAAATATTTGCTTTCACATTGCATACAATAAATGTACTACTTACACAATATTTAGTTTCAATGTTAATTTATTTTAACGAATTTTCTATCTCAGCGTAATTTGTTTTTGTGTGTCAGTTAAGCTTTGTGCAGCATACAAAATCCCAAGTATATTATGTATAACTAACAAAATAAAACATCCTGTTTAATTTCACATCGAAATGCTCTTTGCAATATTGTATTTTATTTCTTATTACAAAGAATTACATATATCAATGCCGAACAATGAACAGTAGCTCACAAACATTTGTAGGGTATACGATTTTTTCAATTTCACCAACTACATATATAGAACGTATTACAGTTTCAGTCACTTTTTTTACACATATGATTAACGTCAATCAAGTCAATATTTTCAAATTGTATACTTGTAGGTTATTTTGTTTACAATATTGATCGCCATTTGCAAATAACATTATTATGTATCAGAACTACAGTATGTACACGTTTACAGCGAGACACGTATTGAGCGATGATAAATTAATTAAGTTAACAAATATGCTTTCTTTTTTAATTAGTTAATCAGCATCTCATCAACCACTAGTAAGGATTACTAGCAACTTATTGTTTTAATTCATAATTTGTCGTGTAATTTTCGGGCTTTAGATAAGATAATAGATTTTATGTTGATTGGTTGTCCTCAAAGGCAAATGCAGGACAATTAAAAAAAAGTGCCAAATTCAATTGTTGCGGCCCTACTTTTTATAGAATTGTACCAAGAGATCATTCCTAGGACAATATGTTATTGAACTCGTTGGAAAGAGAAAACTTCAAGCTATCGTTATAACAATTTCTTACAGTATTAAACGTTGGTCAACGTAGCCATCTTATTTTATACAACATTTAAATATGCGTGTTAATAACGTATTGAATAGGAAAATTATTTATCCGATATCGAAGCATGTTGAATGCAACTCTGCGGAATTGCATAGAATGCTGATTTCGTGATTAGCAAATACTTTAGCATTTGCTGACTGGCTATCTACAGTACCTCCGCCTAATTGATTGCGTCGATCGATCAGCAAAATGCTATTTAATTCATTCCAATTCTCATCATGGTTGTCCACAGTTATAAAAATGTTCTTATCAGCAGTGAACTGGTGGTCTTTGTCGCGTTTATTCTCGTTTCCGGGAAATTTACCAGTTGGGATTTCGAGGCGGTGGATCTTCCAGAAAACGTTTTTATCTCAAGATTCTCCATTTGGCGGAATCGTGCTTTCTTAGCTGTTCCTAGGTATTTCTTTTTATCGTGTATTATGTATACAATGTAATCCAATTGTTTGAAACACAAAGAGATGGTAAGAGGGACAAGATGTAATATAAAATATTGCAACGTAAAGATGGCAGAGAAATGGATCTTCCGAAGACGTCGGCACGCTGTTCGAAGCGGTTTGGCCGGAAATGAGCTTTCCCGCTGTCAAAGCCAGAAAAGCATTCTCATCTGGCCTATACGATAAGATGAATTGTCCTCGATCGACTGTCGATGTGAACGTCGACATTAAGGGACGTTTGTGGGCTCTGGAAGTGCCGGACAATAATGATTGTTCTGCCAGGATTATTTTGTACAACTTGAAAAGGAATAATCAATTGGTAAGGAAAACAATCCAATCGAAACTTTTGTAATATTAATTAATTATATTTTGTGTTATTGTCATTTGGTTTTCGTACACGAGATCGATGCAGCAGATTTTACCGAACAGTTCTGTGTTTTTGCTTTACATTTTGGTTGCCTGATTATATGCCGTAATTAATGTTCTTCAGCAACCCTGTATGCTGCACAATGTTGCATATGCGGATGACGGTGGCGCCTCATTCGGAGAAAGAATGAAGCTCCGTTCGGGGTTCGCACAGCGCCAATTAGGATAGTGGTAAAATGCTCGAACTGTTAGCCAAATTACCAACAGTTGTTTTTGATTAACAGCTTGAGCGTTTTGCCACTATCCTAATTGACGTTGTACGAATCCCGAACGGAGCTTCATTTTTTCTCCGAATGAGGCGCCACCGTTATCCTCATATGCACCATTGTGCAGCATACAAGGCTTGCTGAAAAACATTAATTATGGAAAAATTAGGCAACCAAAATGTAAACCAAGAGCACAGAACTGTTCCGAAAAGTCTGCTCCATCGCTCGCATATGCATAATGTAGGATACGACATTGTTTAGGAGGTTATTGATAATATTATTCATATATCTCTAACAAACATATCCCTTACGTCCTTTAACACGATTATTATTTATTAAATTAGCTTTGCGAATCATTCGTTGAACTGTGTTCGGACACGGAATTATTTAAATTAAAATATCATTTACGTACTGTGTTAATCTTCTCTGTACATCTTGTTTAAAAATTTCATATGTTACACACAAGGTGTCATGCACACTAGAAAATTAAAGCGGCCGTCACGGTTAAATTACTTACTATTTCGGGTCCGTAAAATTAGTAAATATTCTTCAGACGTTCTAAAGTAAAGGTGAACAGCGTTTTTCTTAAAAATATCACTGTTACGTAGTAAAAAAAAAATCCGGAAAGTTCTCGCTTCGTGATTTGTTCAGTACTTCGAACGCGGCTCGAGTCCGTCCCGACCATCTGTCAAAGCCTCGTGCTGCGGGCTCTCGAACTTCGCACCGTCACCTGTCATTGGTCAGTGTTTTCCGTTAATAACTCGTAAACAAAGCCGCAGATTGCNTACGATAAGATGAATTGTCCTCGATCGACTGTCGATGTGAACGTCGACATTAAGGGACGTTTGTGGGCTCTGGAAGTGCCGGACAATAATGATTGTTCTGCCAGGATTATTTTGTACAACTTGAAAAGGAATAATCAATTGGTAAGGAAAACAATCCAATCGAAACTTTTGTAATATTAATTAATTATATTTTGTGTTATTGTCATTTGGTTTTCGTACACGAGATCGATGCAGCAGATTTTACCGAACAGTTCTGTGTTTTTGCTTTACATTTTGGTTGCCTGATTATATGCCGTAATTAATGTTCTTCAGCAACCCTGTATGCTGCACAATGTTGCATATGCGGATGACGGTGGCGCCTCATTCGGAGAAAGAATGAAGCTCCGTTCGGGGTTCGCACAGCGCCAATTAGGATAGTGGTAAAATGCTCGAACTGTTAGCCAAATTACCAACAGTTGTTTTTGATTAACAGCTTGAGCGTTTTGCCACTATCCTAATTGACGTTGTACGAATCCCGAACGGAGCTTCATTTTTTCTCCGAATGAGGCGCCACCGTTATCCTCATATGCACCATTGTGCAGCATACAAGGCTTGCTGAAAAACATTAATTATGGAAAAATTAGGCAACCAAAATGTAAACCAAGAGCACAGAACTGTTCCGAAAAGTCTGCTCCATCGCTCGCATATGCATAATGTAGGATACGACATTGTTTAGGAGGTTATTGATAATATTATTCATATATCTCTAACAAACATATCCCTTACGTCCTTTAACACGATTATTATTTATTAAATTAGCTTTGCGAATCATTCGTTGAACTGTGTTCGGACACGGAATTATTTAAATTAAAATATCATTTACGTACTGTGTTAATCTTCTCTGTACATCTTGTTTAAAAATTTCATATGTTACACACAAGGTGTCATGCACACTAGAAAATTAAAGCGGCCGTCACGGTTAAATTACTTACTATTTCGGGTCCGTAAAATTAGTAAATATTCTTCAGACGTTCTAAAGTAAAGGTGAACAGCGTTTTTCTTAAAAATATCACTGTTACGTAGTAAAAAAAAAATCCGGAAAGTTCTCGCTTCGTGATTTGTTCAGTACTTCGAACGCGGCTCGAGTCCGTCCCGACCATCTGTCAAAGCCTCGTGCTGCGGGCTCTCGAACTTCGCACCGTCACCTGTCATTGGTCAGTGTTTTCCGTTAATAACTCGTAAACAAAGCCGCAGATTGCATTTCCGCAATGGAAAAAGTTACTTGAAATGACCTCAGGTAGCCCTCATTTTCGCCTGTTAAAATAATTGTGGGACACCCTGTATAAACGAACAAACAAATGAGTGACCAGTGACACGATCAATATTACAACAAAATTTAATTTTTCTACTCTACTGTTACAATTACGCCGATTGTTATTGTATTTATTACAATTAATGTTTAATTGAATTCTTTGACTGGAAAGATTTCGTCTACCGAATTGACGAACGTGCCAACAGATAACTTAAGAGCGTTCGTTATCGATCTATCTGGATCCACAGCGTACATCGGGGATGCTGGCGAAGAATCGATCATAGCTTTCATGCCAGGTAATTAAATAAATATTCTAAACAGAATAATCGTAGATCATCGAAGAAGCAATCTATTCTATGAACTTTGTCAATAAACATGTTAACCTAAACTGCAATCGTCGTTCTACGATCTGTTCCAGAAAAAGGAAAATGGTGGACGTTGAAGATGATTCACGGACCGGAAGTGCCTCGAGTGTTCAGCACCGACCTTGCCATCTCCAGGGATAGTTCGGTGTTATATGTAACTGGGTCCGCTAGTCTCGATTTATTTAGCATAAATTTGGAAGGCTTGTGGACCGAGAAAGATAACTTATTTAATAGCGTGAGTATAAACAATAAATATTTTAAGAAAAAGTCGCAGATCTTTTTGCAAAACAAAAATTGTGTACTTCAGTTGCAACAAGATTTCTATTGTTTTGTGTTCCTGCTACATGTTTTTTTTCCTCATAAATTCACAGAATTCGTTGTTTAATCATAGATGATATTTTTTAATGAAACAGAAATCATTTAACGCAACGGTGACATGGCACGGTACCAAAATGGCCGCCTCGTCTGCGCTCTTCTGCGACGTCAAGGACGGCCTTCACTACTTCATGTCGACGGAAAGAGCCAGCGTTCGCTGGGACACGAGACTTCCCCTCAAAGTAATTACATACATTTTTACATGCTATATTTTATATGCAAGTATTCCCCTGTGAAATCGCTTTCCTTCGCTTCCAGGCGGAAAGCCACACGGTTCTTGTGCAGAATGAGGATTGCCCGTGCATAACCGACTACGCCACGGATAGCCAGAAGAACCTATGGGGTCTGATAAACTCGGAATGCCCGTACCAGAGGGACGATTCACCGAAATCGTCTCTGAGATCCAGGACCATTAAGATCGGGAAATATCCGATATCTTGTAATCTCTGCCAACACTAGAATTACCGCAATACGATTCTTCTATTTAAATTTTGTACGCAACACAGGAAATAAATTAATTTATTCGCGAGCTAGAGATAACGGTAATTTTACAACTTCGGCGCTTGCAAATAGACGGGTTTCGCAATTTAAATGCTAAAATCGATTCGGATTAGGAAGTGATTCAATTACCATCGCAGATCGTTCTATAAAATTGCATCGGGTGACAACGAGAAATTACTGTGATTTATTGCACGAGTAAATTATACAGTTCTCAAAGGTGACATCATGCCGTTTTCAGGGTCGTTAATTGAACTTTTACTAGCACGGCGATATGCTGTGACTTTTATTGACGATAAAAATAGTTCGTCACCGTAATAAGTAATTTACTGAATAACCTGTTCCGTTGGTGATCGAAGTGGCTACCGTTTAATGATAATTAAGACTGAAACGGAAGGCTGCGTGCAGCATATCGGCGTTACATCGAAATACATATGTATATGGATCGCAATCATCGTAATCATAAGTTAGTCATAAGTTAATTGAATTTATGAGCGATTTATAATATTCCTCGGAGCATGATAATTACGTAAAAATAAAGTGAAACTGCCGCGTCGCATTATGCAAGTGAAACAGCTTTTCCTAACGAAGATTAGATCTGTTTCTTCGAGCTCTTCTTCGACTTGCAAAATCAAGTAACTCGTTGACTTTAGTTGAGAAATATCGCCGCGAGAAATCAATGAGTAAACTGTATGGTTCATTAACTATGTTTTTACGTTCTTTTTTACTGCTGCGGATAAACTATACGACCATTTTATAACTCGGAGTTTAATTAAACTGTTAGTTATCTCTTAGTGTACAAGAAACTTCCTAATGTTTATCGCTAACTTTCACTTATCTCGACACGTTTACGTGATCGATGCCGAGCATATGCATGCGAAAAGGTAATTATATAACTGGGAAAAAATGTTTAATGGTTCTGATCTGTTTAACGATCGTTCCGCATTATTTACAGAAACGAATTACATCTATTGATGCGCGCGTGTTACAGCGAGCGGAATTACTTTCTGGATTGCACGGTCAACTGGTGAATAGAAGGACACTGAGAAAGAAGTTGTTCAATTATTATTAACAATTCAATGTATTTACGTCATTCAGGCTCTGTCTGTACAAAAGCGTGCTCTTAATTGGATCGGAGGCTGAAACGTCGTCAAATTTCGCAACTGACACTGGTTGATACTCGTAGAGATTGTATTTATCCCCCGAGGGGAAGTTTCAAAGATGGCGGCCGTTTAGGGTGATCGAAGTATAACAATTATATATATATATATATATATATATATATATATATTAATATATATATTATATTATATTATTAATATATAATAATATATATATTTTTTATTATATATTAATATATATATATATAATATAATATAATATTAATAAATATTAATATATATATTATTACTATATTATATAATATATATATTAATCGTAACATTCGATTCTTTTCTGCAGCACCCAAAATCTATCGATTTCGTTGGATCCTCAATACTGATCGTCGCAGGAGTTTATCAATGGATGAAGGGAAACCGATGCACCGGAACAACTGACAGTGTTGTCGATGTAGTCTTGGAAATTGCTCTCGATCACCCACATCAGCTTCTTGTAGCCAGGAACGACCTGCGTCGGCAGCCTGCAGTCGCTGGCCTTTTGGACCAGCAGGAAGTTGTCTTGGATGAATGGAGTCTCCGTGTTCCACATGTAGATGTTCGGATCACCTGAGAATCGTGCAACGAAACGATCGAACATTCGGTTATCAAATAATCCTGCAGAACATGGTCGTCGAAGGTCTTGTCGACAGGCTTCCGGCAGGCAAAATATTAACCCTTTGCACTCGAGTGGCGACTCCGAGGCGCCGTTAAAAATTGTTACGTCACGAATCAAAATAATGTTACTAATCAAGCTTGTTTATATTTGAAGAAATGTTGAAAACGCAACTGTTGCACGAGCCACAAAATTCAATTTCGTATGTTCAAAATGCACTACAAGGTATCCCGAAAATGTCTCGCAGTCTGGAAATGGGAGGTTCCTGTGGTCATTTGAAGCAACTTTTTCCTTTGCGAAAATTTTCTCCGAGGCTTCGTTTACGAGTTATTAACGAAAAACACTGACCAATAAGAGGCGAGCTCGGCTGGCGCGCGGCGGCCCAACCAACGAGCGCACGGAGCCCAGTTCCGCTCCTTGGCTCGGCCGTCTCGCGCCAAATGATCTCGCCTCCCATTGGTCACTGTTTTTCGTTAATAACTCGTAAACGAAGCCGCGGATTGCATTTTCGCTAAGGAAAAAGTTGCTTCAAATGACCTCAGGAATCTCCTACTTTCGGATTGCGAGACATTTTTGGAACATCCTGTATATACATAAAGTATAGTACATAAAATGGAAATACCGTGGGTCGGAAGAACTATTTTAAAATTTACGTTAATTTGGCCATGAGAGAGAGAGAGAGAGAGAGAGAGAGAGAGAGAGAGAGAGAGTGCAAAGAGTTAAACCGTTGCCGAACTTTAACGAGTCTAACTCATAACGGAGATTTCTAATAAGATTTCTAATAATAATCATTTAACTTGGAATAAAATTCTGCCATTTTCTCCACAATATTTAAGTATGTGGTGCGGCAAGGGGTTAATTTTCTTTTAGCGATCAATTTCCACGAATAATATTCCCTTATAGGGATGGTTTTTTTTCTGGAACCAGCAAAATCGTCGACCAACGTTTCAATGTCCAATGTTCCTTACCCTTCGATCTGAAGAAGATCGCGGCACCGTTGTCGGTGCCAAGAATGACGATCTTATTCTTTNCGTTTCAATGTCCAATGTTCCTTACCCTTCGATCTGAAGAAGATCGCGGCACCGTTGTCGGTGCCAAGAATGACGATCTTATTCTTTTTCAGCCCAACTTCCACCACCGATCCGTTAGCGTTCCCGGCTCTCAGGCTGGTGGCTCTGATGGCGAAGACTCTGTTCGAGCCCAAGTAGGTGAAATAGAGGATTTGGCTGCCGCAGCTTCTCCTGATCAGCGCCAAGTAGAGCGCGTCCTTCTTCTCCGCGCCGGAAGTCACTGCTTTGGGAAGAACCACGCGGTAACCGCTGTCGGCGGTCAGGTTGTAGACGATGATGGCCCTGGTACCAGCGTCGGACACGTAGACGTACACCTGGCCGTCTGACGCGTAGTCTACGGCCATGTATTGCAGACGCGACGAGATGTCTGCGAGGGGACTCAGGTCTATCACTTTCACCACCTAAAAGCGCAGTTTCGGATCAGCTTTACCTCGGAGATGTCACTTTGCGGGAGGCGAAAGAGACTTGTCGGGCCAGTTAAATTATTAATATACGATTAATATACAATATTATTATTATTATTATTATTATACGCACTTGGTCGATAATAATTATTATAAATAATAATCGGAAGCTTTACGAATGCAGGAAATGGAGTGCATCACTGCCGGAAGGTTGATTAGAAGTTTCGATGAGATCAAGAAAAATTGAAACCTGGTTATCGAATCGCATATGCCATTTGTGCACATTTTTGTTTTCATTCGCGGCAGCGATTTCTATTACGGCGCAATAATTCTTAGTTGTTTAATCACGCAGCTTTCACTTTGAACTGTAATTTAGTTCAGGGGTGGCCAAACTTTTGATCGCAACGGGCGATTTGTTTCTTTTTTCTTTTTTTAATTATAGGCGGCGGTCTACCAACATTATGAGTGATCATAAGAAAGCTAATAATTTGAAGCCGAAAATAAGTTTAAATTTAAGATAAACATAGGTAATATCAGACAGGCGGGCGACTAGGAATAGATACAGCGACCAAGTCGATCGCGGTCGGCGCTTTGGCCACCCCTGGTTAATTGCCATCCTGCGATAAATATTCATATTTGACAGCTTAAGTCTTATGGCAATCGTTTTAATGCAATTCCATAAGTGCCTGTCACCGATAAGGCGCTCAACACGTTGATCTGCGCATTTTTAAACATTTACGCCTTACAAAAGTCTCCGGGAGATTGCGAAACAAAAGGTTAATGGTACTTAAATACGGTCTCGGTCTCGAACTTTCTATTTACAACTATTTTGTCTGGACGTCTGAGAGCCTAAAAATGTCGTAACAGGAAGTAAAAGAATTTAGTAAAAAGAAAAAGACAACGGCTGGATATTCCACCCTGAGGAGCGCGTTAAAATGCAACTTCGATCTTCGAAGTCCGTGTACAGTACCGTGAATGATAGAATTATAGTAGAACTTCGATTGTCCGAGCACAAAATTGCTAGTTAAATTCTTTTTATCTCCGATTACATAATTATTAACACTATGCCGTCGCTGGCGCCATGCAAAAACTATCTGTTGTATGCCGGTGGTACTATTTTGGTGTCATTTTAAAAAACTGAAATAACATTTGAACTATATTTCTCGGATGTTAAAAGAAAAATAATAATAATAAGTAAATAAGTAATATATATAATTATATAATATAATAATAAATATATATATATAATATAATACTTAATTCTTAGTTTTATTTATTATTATTATAATTATTATATATAATAATTATATTATATTATATATTATATATTTATTATTATATTATATAATTATATATATTATTTATTTATTTATTATTATTATTTTTCCTTTATCATCCGAGAAATATAGTTCAAATGTTATTTCAGTTTTTTAAAATGGCACCAAAGTGGTACCACATATATATATAATATAATATAATAATAAATATATAATATATAATATAATATAATTATTATATATATAATAATAATAATAATAATAAATAAAACTAAGAATTAAGCACGAAAATTCTTGGATGACACATCTTAATTTCAGGAATTTATATTACCGCCATCTTCGAAATTTTTTTAAAAATCTAAAATTTCCAAGCTATTACGCCGGCGTCAAACGAAACAATCATATCTAAGATCTGCGGACGGCATAGTGTTAATATACCAGGACAGTATGATAGGTCGAGGTTTGATCCCTTCCATAGCTTCTTGGAGTAATCGAAAATCGAAACAACAAAGATCGGGGAAGCTCCAGTTCGGTTAATCGAGGTCCTACCGTAGTCCCGTTGCTTACCTTGCCGCTCTTCACGTCGACCCCGACCACTTTGGGGGGACACCTACGCACAGGTTGCTCCAGGGTGTTGACGATACCAACGTCGAGGACCCAAAGGATGTGTTGAATGTCGAGGACAATGTCAACGGCGCTCTGCAGAGCCTGGCAGTTCCCTTCTTCCTGGATCGCCCAGCAAGGGAACGGAGCCACCTTCGGCGCGCACTCGTTGGCTTTCAGCGGGACGACGCCCAAAGTGAACGGCACACCCGCCTTGTACCTAGGCATCGCCAGGATCGCTTGATCCTTGTACACCTGCGCCCTGGTCGCGATCACGTTCCTCGCGATGTAACGGCCGCTGGTCTCGTAGATGTTCTTCGTGCTCTGACNGTGTCATTTTAAAAAACTGAAATAACATTTGAACTATATTTCTCGGATGTTAAAAGAAAAATAATAATAATAAGTAAATAAGTAATATATATAATTATATAATATAATAATAAATATATATATATAATATAATACTTAATTCTTAGTTTTATTTATTATTATTATAATTATTATATATAATAATTATATTATATTATATATTATATATTTATTATTATATTATATAATTATATATATTATTTATTTATTTATTATTATTATTTTTCCTTTATCATCCGAGAAATATAGTTCAAATGTTATTTCAGTTTTTTAAAATGGCACCAAAGTGGTACCACATATATATATAATATAATATAATAATAAATATATAATATATAATATAATATAATTATTATATATATAATAATAATAATAATAATAAATAAAACTAAGAATTAAGCACGAAAATTCTTGGATGACACATCTTAATTTCAGGAATTTATATTACCGCCATCTTCGAAATTTTTTTAAAAATCTAAAATTTCCAAGCTATTACGCCGGCGTCAAACGAAACAATCATATCTAAGATCTGCGGACGGCATAGTGTTAATATACCAGGACAGTATGATAGGTCGAGGTTTGATCCCTTCCATAGCTTCTTGGAGTAATCGAAAATCGAAACAACAAAGATCGGGGAAGCTCCAGTTCGGTTAATCGAGGTCCTACCGTAGTCCCGTTGCTTACCTTGCCGCTCTTCACGTCGACCCCGACCACTTTGGGGGGACACCTACGCACAGGTTGCTCCAGGGTGTTGACGATACCAACGTCGAGGACCCAAAGGATGTGTTGAATGTCGAGGACAATGTCAACGGCGCTCTGCAGAGCCTGGCAGTTCCCTTCTTCCTGGATCGCCCAGCAAGGGAACGGAGCCACCTTCGGCGCGCACTCGTTGGCTTTCAGCGGGACGACGCCCAAAGTGAACGGCACACCCGCCTTGTACCTAGGCATCGCCAGGATCGCTTGATCCTTGTACACCTGCGCCCTGGTCGCGATCACGTTCCTCGCGATGTAACGGCCGCTGGTCTCGTAGATGTTCTTCGTGCTCTGACAGGGCCAGTCCAGGGTCTGTCCGGACAGCGTCACCGACAGGTCCTTCACCAACAGGTTCGCATCGGCTGCAGTTAGCAGCAGGACTCCTAGGACGCCGACGATTGGAAACCTCTTCATCATCGTGATACCCTATTTCGCAAGATTTCCGAACGCCTAGGATTATCATCTAAATGCCTCTTTTCTCGTTAAATAAGATGGGAACGAATGCTTACGCGATTGCCAGCCGATGACGGACGCCGACGGTCAAATATGCGCTGATTATAATCGAGATTATGCTTATATACATTCGGTGACGGTTAAGCTCGTCATGTTCTGGATCATGCACGTACTGTTTCCGGTGTCGCAACGCTTCCGGTCCTGACAAGGCTGCCCGAGGTGCAGGAGGTAACAAGGAAATTTGTTGTCGACGATTGTTTGATAAACAACGGAGCGCTCGGCTCATTTGACAGCGTCGCTTTGGAAACTTATCCGATCTTCGGCGTGTAATTAAACGAGAATTTTCATGTCTTCGGGCATCCTCTTCTTCACGCTGAATCTACCAACGCCGGTCAAATCAAATCGGTTTCATATTTTTCATTTTGTGATTATTGAAGTCTTGAAGCTGCTTCGATCAGAAATTGTTGAACATATTTCCTTATCCGGGCGCACGCTGTTATAAAAATTGTGAGAAAATTTGGACAAATTCTGTCTTGTGATTCTTGCGAGGCAATTTCTGTTAGCCGCTTTTAGACCTCGATAGATCTAAGTGTTGACGTGTTCGCTGTTGCATCATCATCCCCAAAATCGTCTGTAATCGGTGCGCACGGTGTAGCCAATGTGTCCAAAACCGTAGCATTCGAAATTTTGCACGGCGACTGAAACCTGAAATAAGAAATTCGGTTTAAACGGATATAAAAACTACATTGCGGATTTTACGCATTCCCAAAATAAATAGATCAAACGCAAGAACAGTTGAGAGATTTTTAAAGAATTTAGAAACACTGTTGCATTAGTTTCAACCGAATAAAATAGTTCAAGAATCGGACAAATGTCTCTGCAGCTTCTGTATCTTGCAATCGACGCAGACAATTTTGATTTCGCACGAAAAATAATCCGCGGCCCAGTTTCGGCCGGACCTCGTGTCCAGTCGAATTTCCAATTTACCAATTTTTTTTACCATTTTCCAATTTCAACGGCCAGAGGCCGAGAGATCGACAAGAGTACGTATTTTATTTATCTAAAATCGCATTCCGTCGGCGTTACTTCAATCACTCGAAGCGAAACAACAATTTGCTCCGTAGTACGCGAATTCCGGCGCTCGAACGTGACGAACAGGATTGTTTACTGTTTACGCGGGCATTTTTCATCCGGACGAGGAGCCGCGACCCACCTGGCCGTCCGAGCTTGCGACGTGAATGGCCAGGTAAACGCGGAGAACGTGCGGACACAGTTTCGACGGCATAATAAATATTTTACTAAACCCGGCAGTTTCGCAACAACGGCGCAAACGACGCCTCGTATAAAACTGGTGCAATCTTAATGATTCTTCAGTTTGGTTCAGCTGAATCGACGGTGGTTCTTCGTTGTAAATTATTAGCGATGTTTCTCAAGGCCGGATGTCTCGCGATAACGGCGGCGATCACCGTGGTCGCCGTTCTCGCGGCGACCGAAGAGGAGGTCATTGTCATCGAGGAAGAGCCGCTGCTGTTCTCTACGAGCATCAAATGGACCGGAGGACCCTTCGAATGGCCTTGTCCGACGACGAAGAACATGTTCAAGAGCAGCGGTCGGTACATCCCGAAGAACGTGATCGCGACCAGGGTTGCGATCCACAAGGACCACGCCATTGTTGCTCTCCCGAGGTAGAAGCGTGTTCACGTTCACGTTCTTCGTTTCATGCGCGACGGCTGGAACTCCTTAATACGCTGGTCTACGTTTTCCTTGTCCTATTAAACATTTCCCATATATCAATATACAGTAAATTCTTCCTAATTAACGCTCAGCTTGAAACAAAAACGGACAATTTGGGAAGAGGAGGCTCAAATAATTGTGTCTCCTCTTCCCAAATTGTCCGTTTTTGTTTCCAAGCTGAGCGTTAATTAGGAGGAATTAATTTGGGAAGAGGAGGCTCGAATAATCGTGTCTCCTCTTTCCAAATTGCCCGTTTTTCTTTCCAAGCTGAGCGTTAATTAGGAGAAATTAATTTGGGAAAAGGAGACACGATTACTCGAGCTTCTTCTTCCCAAATTGTCCGTTTTTGTTTCCAAGTTGAGCGTTAATTAGGAGGAATTAATTTGGGAAGAGGACAATTTGAGAAGAGGAGACACGATTATTCGAGTCTCCTCTTTCTAAATTGTCCGTTTTTGTTTCCAAACTGAGCGTTAATTAGGAGGAATTAATTTGGGAAGAGGACAATTTGGGAAGAGGAGACTTTAATAATCGTGTCTTCTCTTCCCAAATTGTCTATTTTTGTTTTACTGGAGAGAATTTACCATATCGACCTGAGAATCAACATAACATTAGAACAAAATGTATCTTATTTTACACGGACAACGTTTACCTGCTCTTATAAAAAATAAACTGTCATTGTCCTTTCTTTCTTTAGCTACGACTAATACATTCGCGTTCCTTAAACAAATACGTATATCTTCTTTATCGCGGATTCGTCGTCACATTTTCCTTAAAGCTAAATTATTTTGTCGCGTCCGGTCTCTTCGTTGCCTTTACAGTTTTCTGTTTGAAGGATTTCCTAACGAATGTTTGTCGCAGATTAGGATCGAGTTACATGCAAACATTTCCCTGGACTTGGATGTTTGTTTTTCCTTTAACTTCGTGTTTCTTGCAAAAACATTGCAATATCTTTCCTGAAATATTCAGAATGTAAAGGAAATGTCACAACTTTCAGGTTCAAGTCCGGAGTACCAGCAACCCTGGCCAAGGTCTCCCTGAAGGACCCCCATTGCCAAGCCAGCTTGATTCCCTATCCTTGCTGGTCCGTGCAAGAAGAGGGAACCTGCACCGCTCTGCAGAACGTTGTGGACATCTATCTGGACCCTCAAAACATCCTCTGGGTGCTGGACACCGGTGTCGTGAACACTCTGGAGGAGCCAATCAGAAAATGTCCGCCGAAGGTTCTGGCGTTCAACGTCGTCACCGGAAAGGTGAGTCCAACGCTGTTCTCTCGGGCAGACGCCATTGTACCTGTCCTGTAAACTGTTCGAACGTAATATAGATTTCTCGATTTTTCGAAATTATATACGCATTATACAGGATGTCCCAAAAATGTCTCGCAATTTGGAAATGGGGGATTCCTGAGGTTATTTGAAGTAACTTTTTCCTTAGCGAAAATGCAATCCGTGGCTTGGTTTACGAGTTATTAATGAAAAACGGTGACCAATCAGAGGCGAGCTCGGCTGACGCGAGGCGACTGGCGCGAGACGGCGCAACCAACGAGCGCGCGAAGCTCAGTTCCGCTGATTGGCTCGGCCGCCTCGCGTCAACCGAGCTCGCTTCTCATTGGTCACCGTTTTTCCTTAATAACTCGAAAAATAAGCCGCGGATTGCATTTCCGCAAAGGAAAAAGTTACTTCAAATGACCTTGGGAACACCTAATTTCCCGGAGGTGCCATAATTTTGAGACACCCTGCACATACGTCAATTCGTACAAAGCAGAAAGAAATTCTACAGATCAACATTCTCGTTCATGATTGATTCGAGGTACAGAAAATTCTCTCCAATTGTCCCTCAGCTTGTAAACAAAAGCGGACAATCTGGGAAGAGGAGACACGATTATTCGAGCTGGAATAAATCGTACATCCTTCTACCCAAATTGTCTATTTTGTTACCAAGCTGGAACTGCCATTTCGGTGAAATCGGCAGCCGTAGCCGGACGTCAGAAACGATCTTGAATCGTGTCACTTAGAGATATATCGCCGTCGTTATTTCAGCAAGCGTTGCACAAGACGAATTTCCAATGAACAGGAGAGGTCGACACGTCGATGACCGGGCGCGATTGAAACGCGCGAACGTCGAACGTATGCTACCGCGCCGGCAATCGAACGATCGATTATCTATCAAAGAGCGGTTCTTTTTTTATCCTTTCACTTGGCATACGCGACAGATTTTTCCGGCTTCGGAAATCTTTCGCCGGCGAACGTAAATTAACCGGCCGCTATCATTGCCATACTCGGCAACTGCGAGACTGTTTACATGATCGACAGGCGCCCCTGTTGTCATTATTAATCGTTTGGCTGCTGACGTATTTTTTCGTATATTTTATATTTATATTTATTTATATTGACGTATATTTTATATGCCAAAACCGCGGCACTAATTGCGCGTGTATGGGAAAAATGTAAAACACTTTTCATACAATAAACTCGCTTGTATTGCTTTGCAACAACAACAATTAAAAAATACCACTTATTTACATAAATTTGTTTTCATTAATTTTGCGAATAAAATTGGTAATAAGCACAAATTCTAGTGATTTAGAGCAGCGTTATTACGCTCTCTGCAGTCTTGGCATAAAAAAAGACAGCAGCGCTATCGCGCTCTTCGCATTTTTGGCACAACATAGGAAGAGCGCGATAGCGTTCACTCGAATCTCGATTCGTATAATCGTATAAAGCCTTCTTTTTATCATTTATCGCATCAGTTTCATTCCTGGCTTGAAAGCGGCGCCGTTTCATTCATCGTCAGGTTCCGGGCGCCGTTTTCGTTGCATTCTGAAGCAGATTATTTAAAAAGAAAAAAACGTTTCTATTTTTGTTTACTATTAGATTAAGATCAATTGTAAAAATCGGAACTTCTAATCTATTTTGAAGCCGGTGGTGCGCTCGAGCAATGCGTTTTACCTCGCCGGTAGCCTTTAAACGGGAACCTTGAAGTTCCGCGATGTTCGTTCGGAGTTATTTCAGCATGCATCTAGTGTGCAACCAGTGTGCTATACGCGGTTAGTCGCGTAATCGTCCTACAACAGTAATTAACTAGATTACGTTGATTATTTGCCACCGGACCTGAAATTCTTACAATCGCCATACATTGAATTCTAAATTATAGTATAATAAGTAGACTGCGGATCTTTACCCAAAATAGAACGTATCTTCATCAATTGCAATTGAAGATGAGTCTAGTAAACATCTTTTTCTCTCTTTAATAACTTCAACGAGTATAAAACTCACATTTTATCCACTTTTTTAATCTGAGTTTACAATGCAAATTTAGAAAATGCATTTGATACTTCTCGGTAATTTATATAAATGCTACAATAAATGCTATAATAAATGCTATATAAATGCATAATAAATGATATAAATCAGCAGTCAAGCTACAGCCACTGATACATGTAAAAAGTACCTGTTTTTTCAAATTTTTCTTTGTTACAAGTAATAGCAAAATTTGAAAGACAGTATTTTAGTCATTGCACAGTGAACCAGACCCTCTAACATTTACAAAAAGAAAGTTCAAATCATTTAGACCAGTTACTGTACTTCCTGTACTTACTATACTTCCATAAGTAGACAAATTGAAAGAATTTATGAATACAGTTACGCCAATTTTAACTCGTCAAAATAATTGAATAAAAAAATAAAGTACATAGCTCCTTGAGCTTGTAACAGGTGCAGACAATTTCTATCTTGCATAAAAGTCCGTTGTCCACCAATAAGCATCATCAAGGAAGGTAGCTTGCCTCCTCACAGACGCCTGAATATTCCAAAACTTTAGACCAACCAGAGAGTTCTGCTACTCATCGCCCCTGTAGCTCCCGGGCAGGTACTAATTCAGTGTTCTATAAGTAGAAAAATTGAAAGAATTTATGAATACAGTTATGTCAATTTTAACTCGTCAAAATAATTGAATAAAAAAATAAAGTACATAGCTCCTGGAGCTTGTAACAGATGCAGACAATTTCTATCTTGCATAAAAATCCGCTGTCCACCAATAAGCATCATCAAGAAAGGTAGCTTGCCTCTTCACAGACGCGCGAATGTCCCGAAAATTTATACCAACCAGAGAGTTCTGCTACTCATCGCCCCTGTGGCTCCCGGGCGGGTACTAATCCAGTGTTCTATAAGTAGAAAAATTGAAAGAATTTATGAATACAGTTATGTCAATTTTAACTCGTCAAAATAATTGAATAAAGAAATAAAGTACGTAGTCCCTGGAGCTTGTAAGAGGTGCAGACAATTTCTATTTTGCCTAAAAGTCCGCTGTCCACAATAAGCATCATCAAGGAAGGTAGCTTGCCTCCTCACAGACGCCTGAATATTCCAAAACTTTAGACCAACCAGAGAGTTCTGCTACTCATCGCCCTTGTGGCTCCCGGGCGGGTACTAATCCAGTGTTCTATAAATAGACAAATTGAAAGAATTTATGAATACAGTTACGTCAATTTTAACTCGCTAAAGTAATTAAATAAAGAAATAAAGTACGTAGTCCCTGGAGCTTGTAAGAGGTGCAGACAATTTCTATTTTGCCTAAAAGTCCGCTGTCCACAATAAGCACCATCAAGGAAGGTAGCTTGCCTCCTCACAGACGCCTGAATATCCCAAATATTTAGACCAACCAGAGAGTTCTGCTACTCATCGCCCCTGTAGCTCCCGGGCAGGTACTAATTCAGTGTTTTATAAGTAGAAAAATTGAAAGAATTTATGAATACAGTTACGTCAATTTGAACTCGCTAAAGTAATTAAATAAAGAAATAAAGTACGTAGTCCCTGGAGCTTGTAAGAGGTGCAGACAATTTCTATCTTGCATAAAAGTCCGCTGTCCACCAATAAGCATCATCAAGAAAGGTAGCTTGCCTCCTCACAGACGCCTGAATATCCCAAAAATTTAGACCAACCAGAGAGTTCGGCTCCCGGGCGGGTACTAATCCAGTGTTCTATAAGTAGAAAAATTGAAAGAATTTATGAATACAGTTACGTCAATTTGAACTCGCTAAAGTAATTAAATAAAGAAATAAAGTACGTAGTCCCTGGAGCTTGTAAGAGGTGCAGACAATTTCTATTTTGCCTAAAAGTCCGCTGTCCACAATAAGCATCATCAAGGAAGGTAGCTTGCCTCCTCACAGACGCCTGAATATCCCAAAAATTTAGACCAACCAGAGAGTTCGGCTCCCGGGCGGGTACTAATCCAGTGTTCTATAAGTAGAAAAATTGAAAGAATTTATGAATACAGTTACGCCAATTTTAACTGGTTAATTCACTGTTCCGTTGGTAATCGCAGACGTTACTCACGTCTCCCCTGATTTCTGCCGCAGCTGGTGAAGACGGTGGATCTGACCGGTCTGACGAGTCCGTCGTCGAGGCTCCAGTACGTGGTGGCGGACTACAGTCCGGACGGCCGTGTGTTCATCTACGCGTCCGACGCTGCGACAAGAGCAATCCTCGTCTACGAAGTGACGTCAGGTCTTGGCTATCGCGTCGTCCTCCCGCAGGCCGTTACTATGGGCTGTACCCGACGGGACGTGTTGTACCTCGCCCTTCTGCGTCGCTCCGACGGAAGCACCTGCTTGCTATTCACCTACTTGAGCAGCAGTCGTCTGTTCTCCGTCAGAACCGAGCACTTGAGAAACGGCTCCGTGAACGGGCGTATACACGACCTCGGCCCGAAACCGAGGAAAATGGTGCTCCTGGGCACCGACAACGGCAGCGCCATCTTCTTCCGTTACGAGGGCGAGTCCGACGTCTACCGGTGGGACGCCAGCAACCCGTTCGTCCCCAAGATGTTCCAGTTGGTCTACACAAGCCCGGAGTGCAACCTTGCTACTCACGTCGCCGCGGACTATCACAGAGGCAGGATGCGCGTATTGGAGTCCAACTTCCCCGATTACATGCAGGGAACCGTCGGCTGCGGGGCCAATCAGGCGCTTAGTCTCATGTAGCTTTTTTTATAAATTCATCTTCTTCGTTGAATACTGCGACTTTTTCTCTCACTCTCGACTCCCACGAATTTACTCCGCTTTTCAACCGTGGGTTTTTATGGCGTCGATCTTCGGTCCCCTGAAATTCGACATTGAATTATTTTTAGGAAGCGTCTACTTTTGGCGATACAGGCTGTCCCGAAATTATGGTAATTCCGGGAAATGAGGGATTCCCGAGGTCGTTTGAAGCGACTTTTTCCTTAGCGACAATGCGATCCGCGGCTTCGTTTACGAGTTATTGGCGAGAAACGGCGACCAATGAGAGGCGAGCTAGCGCTTGGCGGCCGAGCCAATGAGCGGAACCTAGACTCCGTCGGCTCGTTGGCTCGGCCGCCGTGCGCAAGACGAGCTCGCTTTTCATTGGTCAGGGTTTTTCGTTAATAACGGGTAAACAAAGCCGCGTGTTGCATTTTCGCTAAGGAAAAAGTTGCTTCGAATAACTTCAGGAATCACCTTCTTCCGGGTGTTAATATAATTTTGGTACACCCAGTATACGACTGACGCAAGCTAAACCTTCGACACCGAACACAGCTGAAGCTACGTATTTTTATCATTTTTACTGTAATGTATGCTCGCATCGACACTTATGAACGACCGAGCCGCATGTAAAAGGAACCGAATAATTTTCTATCGAATAACAAATTCCGGAGGATGTTGTCGCGGCGTACGCGTCCAAATAATTTGTTGAATTGCGGACGAAATTGTTATCGCTTTCGAACAATTGTATAACGAATCTTCGACCGGTTGCTGTTCAGCTTTAAAATGACTATTAGAAGAGCCTTTGTAATTTCAACGATTTTAGTGATAAACTCTATTATCTAGAAATTCTCGTGTCCGTATTTGACGCAAAGTCGTCGATTTTCGTGAGTTTAATACACCTCGGATCCTTATCCAGATAGCACAAAAACGTCTTTAACCTCTCAGGTCCGGAAATGCCGGGTTCCTCGGATCATTTGAAGCAACTTCTTCCTTTACAAAAATTTTTTCCGAGGCACCGTTAACGAGTTATTAACGAAATACCGTGACCAATAAGGAATCGAGTACGGATCACGCGAGGCGGCCCAGTCAACCGGCGCACGAAGCCCAGTTACGCTCATTGGCTCGGTCGCCTCGCGCCAGCCGAGCTCGCCTCTAGATGTGTATAAGAGACAGGGTCACGGTATTTCGTTAATAACTCGTTAACGATGCCTCGGAGAAAATTTTCGCAATGGAAAAAGTTGCTTCAAATGACCTCAGGAATCCCCTACTTTCGTAGTGGCTCACTCTATTGACTCATTCGCTCACCGTTTCAACTAAACGAACATTTTCCTTTGTCTTGCTTCACACTTTTTTGCCCTCACAACGTTTTACAACAGTATTATAATATAATTATATTAATATATAATATTATATATAATATATTATATATTATGTACAAGGTGTTCCACAATTATTTTAACAGCCAAAAATGAGGGGTACCTGAGGTCATTTGAAGTAACTTTTTCCTTTGGGAAAATGCAATCTGCGCTTCGTGATTTGTTCAATACTTCGAACGCGGCTCGAGTCCGTCCCGACCATCTGTCAAGCCTCGTGCTGCGGGCTCTCGAACTTCGCGCCGTCACCTCTCATTGGTCAGTGTTTTCCGTTAATAACTCATAAACAAATCCGCAGATTGCATTTTCGCAAAGGAAAAAGTTACTTTAAATGACCTCAGGTACCCCCCATTTTCGGCTGTTAAAATAATTGTGGAACACCCTGTATTATATATTATATATTATATATTATATATTATATATTATATATTGTATATTATATATTATATATTATATATTATATATTATATATTATATATTATATATTATATATTATATATTATATATTATATATTATATATTATATATTATATATTATATATTGTATATTATACATTATATATTATATATTATGTATTATATTAATATACAAACAGAATATATAGTCTTTGTTTTTGATACTCTGCAGTCTTACACATTGCAGTGCTGTATTGTTTACGCATAATTCACGTCAAACTCTGTCGTACAGAGTAACAGCTCGCGCAAAATTCAGCCGTGCCTAAGAGGTTAAGTCGTCCCAAATCGTACATCCTTTTAACGTCTGAAACAAGACGTCCATTTTAGAACGTACGACGTTCAGACCTAAAATGGACGTTTTTAAGACATCCATTGGTATCGGCTATGAATATTCCTGTTGCGACGAATATCGGGGCAAAGTAAATCGAAGAAAATTAACCGAAAGTTAAATTAAAAGTCAATCGGCAAAAATAGTACCCTAAACGCGAGTACGAAGTTCTTCAGATCGGTCGCCAGCATCGAAGAACGTAGGAAATCGATCATTGGTAAAATCGATGGGAAGGGGTACCGTGTATCGACGTATCATTCTTTTGTTCGCGTCTACACCAATGATCGCGGGCCCGAGCTGGGCTCGTAACTCAAGATGCAAATCGGTTCCGCGATGTCGACCGCGCTGCCGGTGCACAGGGGAGAACTCGGCCGACACGGGGAGACGAAAAAAAAATATCTGAAACGGAACCTTTCTCTCTTACAATCACCGCTTCGGCTTCGGCGGCGTTCGATCGCGATTAATCGCCGGCTACGTGAAACAATCCCGTTTCAATGCGACCGGGCATAATTCACTCGAACGCTCGGCAAAGGTATAAAAACACGGCGGAATATGTAATATTTTTTTTTAGCTTTCGGTACGCGACGCTCGAGACTGGCTCCGGTTTAGAACGGAAACAGTCACGACCACGCCGTTTTGTGTGCTAAACAGCGAGAGGTCCATTTCGTTTTAGATTATACGCAGGATAATCTGGAGCCACAGAGCTTTTATATGGAAAAAGTTACCGTGGGAAACAGTTCAAAACAGTGTAGATTTTTACAACAGTATTTTAAAAATGCTTCGCCTCGAATTTTCTCATTTATTGGAAACAATTTCGAGCGCCCTGTTTCGTAGAACAAATGAAAAATTGTGGATCCGCGAGCTTTCGCTATTTTGTGTGCGAAAAGACGTGTCTGTGCTCGTGTCTGTGCTCGTTTCGAAGGGCGCAGTTTCTATTGGTTTGGCAACTAAGTAATTGCCGATTTGTTCAATGAAATAAAAATTCTTTTTTACTTGGAACGAAGTTTAATCTGTAATGTATTTTCCATTTTGTTCGATGACCCTTCGCCATCTCTCTGACAAATTGAAAACTCCACGCTCGTAGAAAGTCTGATCCTTTTCGGCCAAAAACTGAGTTAAGTGAGATTTTACAGCGTCATCATCATTAAAAGTTTTACCACGAAGGGAGTTGTCCAGGAATCGAAATAAGTGGTGATCCGATGGCGCCAAATCGGAGCTATATGGTGGGTGTAACATCAATTCCCAACCAATATCCATCAATTTTTGCCGAGTGGACAAAGACGTGTGCGGCCCAGCATCGTCCTGCTGGAAAATGACACCTTTACGATTGACCAATTCTGGTCGCTTTTCCTTGACCGCTGCATTCAATTTGGCCAGTTGCTAACATTCACGGCTAATAAAAAATAACATAATAATAATAATAATAATAATAATAATAATAATTTTATCATATAACATTCATATTATAATATAAATATATATATTTATTATCTATATTATATATATTATTATATATATTATTATTATAATATTATTATTAATACTATTATTATAACATTATTATATAATTATTATATATATTATATATTACATTATATTTATTATATATATTATTATATATATAAATGGTATGATTCGAACAATTCTGATCGCTTTTCCTTGACCGCTGCATTAAATTTGGCCAGTTGTTAACATTCGCGGATAATAAAAAATAACATAATAATAATAATAATAATAATAATTTTATAATATAACATTTACGGATATCGTAAAAATGGGAGTGAGAGACATCTATAACTGAAATCGGCAATTACTTAGTTGCCAACCCAATACTTTCTCGCCATTCGCGTTAATTGTCGGTCCGATTTTCACCATAAAACAGGGTACAAAAATTAAGATTGCTTTCTACCATTCGGTATTTTACTTTTTGGACGAAATTAAGTATATTAAGTATATTATTATTATTAAGTATATATATATATATATATATATATAGTATATATTAATTATCTTATATTAAGTATAAGTATTATTAAGTATATTAAGTATTTTGTTCGCTGATTCGTTTTTTCTAAAAGAAAGTCTCCTCTGTACAACGACTCCTTAAAAGTCGATTCACAATTTTTTCACGCGATTTTGCCACGCTTTGAACGAAGAGTGTGTACTTTATTATTATTAAAATGCATTTTACGTCATTTCTGTTTACGCAGGGTTTTTATAATGTCGATATCAAATCGCAAGCATAGTCGGACTTCGCTGGGAAACTCGACGCCACTTGTTTTCGGTAATCTGAACCTCTTGAACCTCTCGGACCATATTCTGGTTACGGTGAAAATGCGCGAGTATTTCCTCTCCGGATCGCTGACAACGAAAACGAAGCGGTCGTTTGGATCGGGTTCCTCCGTGCCGAGGATTGCAACTTTCGCTGAAAACCGATATATCGGAATCGGTATCGAATTTGGTTCCTAGATCGCAGCCATTCAGAACGGCGCGCGGTGTGTTTAGAGCTAAAGTTTAAACGTGTAGAGTTACGTCTCCGCAGAGTTACGTCCACTAATTGCCCTACGTATTTATTACTAGATCGCTGAAATTATGGATTTATGGCAGAAAGGGGGATAGATCGAATACGAAGCAGTTTACGAAAACGTTTAAACAATTTAAAAAATACTGTTGCATTATTTTCAACTCAATAGAATGCTTAAAGAAAGGAAGACACGTCGACGTGATTTTGTGTCTCGCAATTAATTAATCAATCAATTTTGATTTTGTATAAAAATCAAATGAATTATGATTTTGTATAAAAATCAAATCAATTTTGATTTTGAATAAAAATCAAATCAATTTCGATTTTGTATA